ACTTATTGACTATTAGAGACTGTTTCGATATACACACTTACACTCTCGGATACAAGAGCCTATTTTCTCGTCTCTACATGTAGAACATGCAGGGATCGTCTTACTGATAGGTACAACATTCACAGACATGGCTAATACCTGCAGCGCATAAATACACACAAACACACAAGCTCAATATATGTGTATAAACATACACACACTACCCATATGCACACATCACACACACACACATATGTATATATATATATTTACATATACATACATATACATACATATATATAGTACACACATATAGCATGAATGCAGTACATACCGTTTATTCACCAGCCTATTTGCCTGTTCCTTACTATTGTGTCGTGCCATCCGTTCAGCTCTGGTCATTGCAGAACTTCTCTTCTCGTCGGCCAAACCATCTACTATCTCCCCATTCCCATTAGGCCCTCCATTAGACCCCCCAATACCCCCCTCAGTGCGTTTTCGCTGTGATTTGCTCTTCTTGCTCTTCGAATTCTTCGCACTGGTAGGTACAAGTGGGTCTGGAGTGCTATTGATACCCTCACGTACACCTACGCTTGTCTTGCTTGCATCGACGGCTGTATCACCATGGCTCCTATCCGAATCTGGGTTGTGCCTAACGTTTGTATTTATACCTAAGCTATTCATACCGTCGGTAGACATACCCACATGACTAACCATATCCCCCGGGGTCATTAACAGCGGCGCTACAAACACCGGTGCATTCGCGTTCAGGTGTTTATTTCCCCTACCCCTCCCACTACCTTCAAAGCCGTTCATAGCCCCCTTCGCGCTGCCTATACTGCCCATACCATTGGTAAATACACCCACGTTACCTACATTGGTGCTACCTACACTAATACCGCCTGACACACCGGGCACGCCGGGCATGTCGTCGGCACGTGCTTGCGGGATTTTATTCTTATTATTTCTCCTCTTGTTGCCCCTTTTCTTCTCGTTCTTACTTGCTGTATCTGGGTTGGGAGTTATTCCGGTACCACTCGCTGCACTGTGATGTTGTTGTGTGTGCACACCATTCGTATATGACATTTCAGATGTGCGAGAAGACTCGACACCTTCACCATTTGGCATCGTGATATATACTCGTGGACTCAGGGACGATTGTGAGGTATATCAGTGTAATAAACTTCGCGGTTAGGCTTTCTTTGATGATGTATACGTTCTAGATTAGAAATTTAATATCTAGATAAAGTTATTATATATATATATATATATACACTATAAGCTAATGCTTAACTATGTGCGTACGTGATAGGGATAAACCCAGCGCACACCGTGCTCTGTAACTTAGGCTAAGTGTATAATATGGGTAGTCCTGATAATATCGATGCACACTCTAAAAATCGATGTAGCAAATAGCTGAATGCTATATGATATAGGATACTATATGGCACAGTCTAATCTGTGTATCTATATATGGTATGTCTATAGCCAGGCCAACTCAGCAGAAACTTGGATACACATATGTATACTGGCACGTGACAGAATGCATACCATAATAAGCTGTACCACGTATGCATATGATACCACACACATACATATGTCGTGTGCATAAGATATTTCATATAATCACCTGTATGCTTGTCCAAGGAAAGTAATGGAACACATTTTGCTTTCGGCATTGTTTTAGACCTTTAAACCAGTTCGGTACCGGTTTTGGCGGGCAGATTGAAACTTGCGCTTTTTCTAACAACTGTACAATCTTGCCGCCATCTCAATCTCATCGGCTCATCGGCCCTCTATTCACAATAAATATTTAACAATAAGAGGGAAAGGCGGCTATAAGTATCTCCATAAATAGATACATGTATGTATGTATATACGCATGTATATATGCGTATATTACTGTATATGTATGCAGACATATAGATAAATGCATGTATCTATATATCGCTGATTCGCCATGACGTCTGAAGCGTCTAAGGTGCACGTGGCTGTGCGAGTGCGGCCGCTCAACAAACGCGAGAAGAATAGTGCCAGAGGAGAGGGCTGGCATGTGCATGACAATGCCATGCAGCAGATAGCTGGGCGGGGAATCAATTCGTCGTTTGCTTTTGGTAAGTGTAGTTGATTC